ATCTGCGAAACAGAAACGTCACGTCTGAATATAATATATATAATATATATATATATATTTATACATATATATATCAGAAACATTTTATTAAAACAAATGCCCATCAAATATTTGGTTAATATAACCAAAAATAGTGCTTTTACAAATATTTAATAATAAGTATTACCAAATAGTAACAGTTTGGTAATACTTATTATTTAAATGTTTATAAAAGCAATATTATTTATGATTATATTAACCAAACATTAGATTGGCATTATTTTACCGTACATTTATTAGTTATTACCAAACTCTCTCTCTCTCTCTAAGGAGATCAACTTGTACTGTTAAAAAAATATACACTAATTATATAGTAATTGGTAATTATGGTAATACAACATACTTTATTGATAGTATTGCTATTATATTGTATTGTTAATATTGTAATTCTATGTATTGCCGTCTATTACGCGCAATATTGCCAAGTATTGTTAATGTATTGTTATGTACTACTATATATTGCTAGCATATTGCTAGCGTATTGCTAGTACTGTTACTGCTAGTATTGTCAGCAGAAAAATAGTTTAAATTTACAAACTGACACTGAAGGTCTCCATAAGGCATACTCGTATATACTTATTATAAATAAAATTTGACTCTTCGATACTGACAGTCCGTCTCCTCTCTCAGTCCATGTTGATCCGTATCAGCGAGCGTACATTATTATCGACATACAATGTCCGTCTCACACATCTGTGTTCCATTAAACATTTTAATTGGTTTTCTTATTTACATGAACACACTTGTTCGTATAATTTACATATGATTTTTGGCGAGTTTTAATTACTTGTTAGAATTTCGATATATTAATTTGATTGTGTTTATTTTTTTTGTAAGAAAATTTTTTTTATCTTTTTTATCAACTAGAACTTTTCCAAGAGATATGAAACACATTTGACTGTTCAATCATATGTGAAAAATGTTGAGTTCTACATCAAAACTCACCCGAGCTGTTATTATAAGGAATATGCGGAATATTTTCGATAATTCATTTTGTACAGCGATTTTTGTGATAAGTTAATGTCTGAAGAGGGCTCAATCCGGTAGCCAAAACTTGTAACGTTTCATATTTAAATTTAAACTGAGTTTTTTAAATTATTTTTTTAAATTTTATTTTTCTTTATTTGCAATTTATTCCTTTTATTTGTGTGACAAGTTAAAAAATGTATTTGACTCTTACTTTGCCCTTTATTTATTGTTATTTATTTTGTATATGAAGAGTCCTTCTATCTGTTAAATGTTTTGAGCTCATAGGTACATATTAATACGTATACTTTAATCCTGGAAAAGGATTTTCCCCAGTAAAGAAGAAATATTTTAGTACAATAACATTGCAATTATGTTACAACGTTGCTGCGCTGTTGCTGAAATGTTTCAAAATGTTTCTTACTTATTGGGTCGAATCTGTAAAAAAAATGTAATTATACAAAAACGACATTAATTTTGGAAAATCTTTTTTGTTAGGCCTTTGATCACAATTTCGCAAACTTAGGATTGTTTGTGCATATCATACGTTTCCAAGGAAGATATCATTTTGTACCTACGACCTACAGAATTTTTGTATTAAGGGATTATAACCTGAGGTAATAGCTGTGAGAATTGAAATAAAGTGAACTTTTAATTTTTTTCCCCAAGTTTCTAGTCAAATTTAGTATGGGCGGTGTTTTTTTCGTGCGTACTTTTATTGTGTAAAAGGATTATTGTGTAAAAGGATCAAAATATCTTATCTCAATGTAGATTGAGGGGGATTTTATGAAAGAAAAAAAAACATAAAAAATAAAAAATAACGTACCAGTATAAAAAGAAACTATTAAGTGCTATTAAGAACTATTGAAAAATAACTATTCAGAACTATTTAGAAAACTATTTATATTATCAGTGGTGATCGATAAAGCCATTTCGGAGAACTTGGCAATTTATAATTGTCGATAATTCCTGTTGATTTAGGATCCCCTTAACATGCGGAATAAAATATCTTATCTCAATGTAGATTGAGGGAGACTTTATGAAAGGAAAAAAACAAAAAATAAAAAATAACGTACCAGTATGAAAAGAAACTATTAAGTGCTATTAAGAACTATTGAAAAATAACTATTCAGAACTATTTAGAAAACTATTTATATTGTAAGTGGTATTATGGGACATTACCATTCATTACTGTAGCATAACAAATAATAAATTATAGTTACTATTCGCTTCCACAGCTACTATTTATGATTTAAATATCATAGTAATGAATAATAAATGCGTAAACAGTTACTATTTGCTCCAGTAGTAATGAATAGTGATGTCCCATAACTATTGTACATGACATTACATATTCGTATTCACACATACGGTTGTGTTTAAAATTCTTAAATGTTTTTAAATATAAAGTATTAAATTTTATGCACAAAGATTGATGTCAACTTGATAAAGTCAATATTACATGGGTCCGTTTTGTTCAATTACGAATAGTTACTTTTAAAAACTATTCGCCAATAGTAGTAGTTACTATTTAATTACTGTTCAATTATGTAGTCATGAATAGTTACTTTTCAGAACTATTTACCAATAGTTATTATTCAGATAACTATAGAAATTGAATAGTAACTACAGAAATCTGAATAGTACACAATAGTTCTCAGTAATTCCTTTCTATATGGGTACCTGCTTATTTAATATGATAAATATCTCAAATACATAAATTTACATAGATCAAACTTCGCAGCATATTAGAATATTGCGAAGACAGATGCAAATTTTTTTACAACAGTTGGCGCTACTAGTACCAACCGTTACAGAAATATAAAGAATGCTCATATTACCTGAAGTGCTCATAACACTCGATTCTACTCTATATATGTATATAAAATATATGTATACATTTGTAATTTAATTATATCACTGTAAATAACTGTTTTTCGAAATTTTATTTAGATATAGTTCCGAATGACCCCTACTCGCGATTAACTTGAAATTTCGCACATAAATTCTATTCAATATGAGAAATAAAAAATACATAGTCTTAATTTCGGGAAATGAAAAAAAAATTTTTTTGTTTTACAACTTTTCATTCAGGTAGATTTTGCTTTGCGTGGAAAGTCGTGTGCTCCTTGGTAGGGGGAAAGGTGGGATGAAAGTTTCGTGTGGAAAGTTGTGCGCCGCGTGCGCCTCTAATCAGAAGGGGAGGGGGGAGTGGAAGTCGCTTCGCGTGGAAAGTCGTGCGCCCCTGAAGCAGGAGGAGAATGGGGTCGTTTCGTCTGGAAAGTCGTATGCTTCTTGGTAGGGAGGGAGGTGGGGTGGGAGTTGCTTCGCGTGGAAAGTCGTATTTCCTTAATCAGTCCGGATTTTAGTCGGTAAGTATTGTATAAAAGAAAATCTTTTTCCATTTCCCGAAATTGAGACTATAGGTTTTTCATTTCTTACATCAAAAACAACTTATATGTAAAATTTCAGTCGCGAATGGGAATCAATCGAAACTGCACTCTTTTTTCTATGGATTTATTAACAGTTAAGGCTCGTACAGAGCAACTTTGTAGTGTCACAATTTCTGGCTCTACAGAAAAGTACCGCGAATATCTTCATATGGATCAATTTGTGACGCGACAAGAAACAGGATGCGGATGTGTTCAGAGTGGTAAATTCGTGACTTGACAAAGAAGTGCTGTAAATTCGCCCATCTGAACGTTTTGTCGTGCTATGAATTGGCCGATAGGAACATATTTGCGACTTTTCTGTAGCGCCAGAAAATAGCTCCGTTTGAATGGATCGGCGCTTTCAATTGTAGCACTACAAAGTCGCTCGTCTGTACGAGCCCTTATTCAATAATAATGTTGCAGGTTCGGGAGGAGAAAATAGAAGGTTCAAAATTGGCAAACCTTGGATTTCCTGTCTTGCAGATAATAAAAAAATCTGGAAGGAACAAGCAGTCCGAGGCATGTTATAAATGTTATCACAATTAAATTGAGATCATTTAATCAGTTGTAATTTTAAAGTTAATCATTTTTAGCAAAGAATTTTTAACATAATTATGAAAATTTTGTTGATACTTTAGCATTATACATGCAGTTCATTTAATTAGTAATTGTTTAATAATAAGATTTATAATAATAAAAAATATAATGGATTAATACTTTATCCGCAGATGCAGAAATCAAAGCACAAAAAGAACAAGAACAAAAGACCAGCAACAATCGTGAAGACGGTGAGGGAGCGCAAGCTGCGGCCGAAGAATGAAAGATACACCGGACAATTATATTTTTTAAGAGTCTCTGCAACTTTAAATTACGAAGAAGTTTATGATTACATTAGATGGCATCTATCATAAATTTACGAACTTCTTATTACGCTTACAAATGATAGCCAAACGTCATTCGGTAGTACAAATGGATACACGGATATTAGATGAGTGGTTATAGCGATGTACACAAAAATATATATATACAAGATATGTTGGAGAATACTTTGTTTGAATTGACACCAAAGATTCAAATTATATATTTATCCCGCTATTTCTGTAGAATATTCACATAATATATTTTAACTGATTGTTTTCTACAGTTTCATATATTGCTTGATCTCATTATATTAGTTACAGTGCTCCTCAAGATAATCGTCGCTATTGCAATTAAATTAGACATGTCTTGTCAATTTTAAAGGTTTCTTAAGAACTATTTTTGTGAAAGTTTATAATTTTTAAATGAGATATTTTTTATAATAATGATTTAATATCTTATTCTAAATTGTTTAAATAAATATAAATAAGTATAAATATGTAATACAATATGTACGCGGTGTACGCGGTAGAAAAATTGATAAAAGAACAATATAAATTGTAAATTCTAAATTATGTTGCAATTATTTTGCACAAGAATGTGAATTATTTGTTTTACTATTTTTAATTATACGGTGCAAGAATTGATATATTGTATAATAATACAATCTAAAGTTATAAGTATATTGCAGAAGGCGTATACTTTTTAAAAAGAATAAACATCCTTAAAACACAAGCAAGCATTGAGTGTCAAAAGAGAAAAACTTATTTATAATTGCTATAATGCTATAATTGCTATAATTGCTATAATGAATAAATTTAAGGATTCTATTCTATTTGTTAGAAGGCTATTTCAAATCGTATTTGCTTTCTTTCGACGCTATGTAAGTAAATGTTATTTAATCAATCGAGTGAATTTGCTGTCTAGTTTCTTGATATCGAATGATGTAATTAATCGTGTATCTTTTAAAGAGCAAAAAATATATTTAAATTATTTTAGGAATCTAAAATAGTAATCAATATTTTTTTTCAAAACTTAAAGAAAATTTAATGGCATAAGTTATAATGTATGGAATGTTTGACATGTATAATGTTACAATCATAATTCATAATGGCTATCTTCTCTTACTTCTATTTATGCTATATATATTTTTGAATCAATATTATAATCGACGGTGATTATAATATTAGTTCAAGATATAAGATTTATTTATTTTAGATAAAAATCAGCCTGAGGTTTTTAATCTGATCTTTGCAAATGTAGAGTGCAAAATATTATTTATGATAGACACTTGAAGATTTGGAAGAGTTGATTCCTCTCACATGTTTACTAATTATTCACGGCGAAAAGAGAAGCAAAGTATTCTTGTACATTTGTTAGATGTATACACGTATACACATACTGATTCAGTTTTAATGTATGTGTATCTGCATAAAGATAAACAAATAACAAGATATGACTATGTTTTATCATTTTATATATGATATATTCTGTACACATATATAGTACACGTATGATATATTCCGTATACATATATGTACATATTATACGTATGTGTTATGTATATAGACAAAAAAAGGAAAAAAGAAAGATTATTTTGTTGAACTCCTTGCGATATCGAGATTGTAGAATATACATCTTAGCGCATATTAGCAACGCACACGTCTGTATTTAAGTTTGTAATTAATATATCCATGAAGGAATGCGCATTATAAAACGCATAAATCTTGATATAATGACAAACATACAATTGCCATTGTATCAGTGCATCAATATTCTATGTTATACGCGTAAAGGAATTGGAGACATCGGTGTAATAAAAGATTGATAATTTTTTATCTCTTTTTTACTTCTTATTAAGCAGAGAAAATGTTGCTGCTGTTGCAAATTTTATTTTATGATTTATAAATATATATAAATATATTATTTTCAATACATTCACACGTAAAAAATATTGTCTAATATATACACGCTGATTTTAATGAAGTTTTCATTACTAAGAGTACAAAATGTCCATTTTATTGGTAATCGTCAATATTTGATAAGGAAAATATATATGTTTATAGAAAACTAATAAAAATAAAAAAATATAAGAAAATTATACTATGAGGCTTTGTATTAGAAATTCTTAGTTTTTCGTAAATATTCGTAGTGGGTCGTAGATTGATGTCGTTTGAGGGCGGAAGATTTCTAGGTTTTTCAAACAAACAACACGGTTTTATGTCTCACTACGAATATTTATAAAAAAACTAATAATTTCTAAAATCTTGTCTCAATCTATAGTTTTTCGTAAAAGTTTTTTCGTCAAGGTACATAATACAATCGATTATATTAAATAAAAAAACGAATATGAAATTGACAAATACAATATGGTAAGAATATCATAATCTTTATTTGACAATAATCCTGCCATTATATTTTGTCGAAGTTTTATATTCTTTTTTAATTTAGAAGTAAAAGCACTTACTTTCCACATAATGCAATATCCCAGACAACACACAATTATAAAATATTTACAAAATATTTATAAATGTTTATAAGGCTTACTT